ATTTTAAGAAAAAATTACTTCTCTAGATTTTGATTTTTTTCCAGTGTATAATCATTTTGTACATGTTTTTGCAATTTCAAATTTCATTTAAAATGTAAAATTAAGGTTTATCATCCTATTTCCAAACAGCTTCTTATTTAGAAATGTTAACTATCTCTTTGTTAGATTAATTAATAAAAAAATAATAGATTGATTAATTAATCATAGCCGTCATTACAATAGGCTTTTAAAACATTCCGAAACATTTAAAAAATGTTTTTAAATATTAATATTTGAGAGATTCAAATTAGCTGTGTTTTTTCTCATGCAATAAGTTTACTGTCATTTTTTTTTGTCCTGTAAACTAACTTTTTTGCCAGGATTCATTATTATACTTCAAAGTAAAGATGTGACTCTCAGCGTTGATGTGATGAGGAACAAAGGAAGGAGAAACATCAAACTAGGCCTTACTCTCTTGGTTATAAAGTGTCACAATTTTTCAGAAAGCTGTGAGCAGAAGGATGCATGGCCCCGGGATGCCTGCAGGCTGTCATCACTCACTTCATAAACCAACCGAAAGTTAACAAGTCCAGAAGCACCGTTATGCAGCAAACCATAGTCTGCTGCATAACGGTAGGATTTATCTTACATACGCGCCTATTTATTTTTCATCAACATGTGAACTCCAATTACATGGCCAGTCTGCACATTCAGTCTGATCCCATTTAGCAGTCGGCCGCAGCCACATCTGTAAGTCCTGACAGCTGGGACTGACTGGGACCTCAGAGGGGAAGGTCTGGAAATGCTCTCCCTCAGGTGAGGTCTTGAAATGTACAAGCTTTAGGTAATCAAAAGTGAAAAGCCATTAAATGAGAGATAGAATATCTTAAAATCCACTGTGACTCTCCCTCCACAGCTTTAAGATCGGTTCAACACTGCCCCCTGCTGGTGATCATACAGAACAACCATCCATTGGCTTTACAGACAAATTCCAAAAAAGTTAGAAGGAAAAAAAAACACTGGACTTTGTTTTAGGTTTGAAGATGTTTTGCTTCCCAGGATGCTTTTCTAATTCAAACTGTCAGAAAAAGTATTGAGTTCTGACATTTTGAATTGAAAAAGCTTCCTGGATGGGAAGCAAAACGTCTTCTAATTTGGAAAC